GCTTTAATTTTATTTCAAATTATAAAAAGTTGTTTAAAAAGCAAAACTTAATGTTTATTTTTTTTCTGAGCTCAAAGTGTTTCATGAATATTTTGGTATGCTGAAAATTTCAAACAGAATGGCCAGTTAACTGAAAAATCAGTTATTCACACAGGCAAATAGGTTTTTCCTCTCTAATTACAGTGATCTTTTTCGTTGTTATTTTCATATACAAACATCATGCAAACATTGCCCCTTAATGCCCCCATAAAAATCCCCATCACAATACCAAAGAAATGTGTATTACAACCCCAAATAATGTTTTAGTGTTTTACTTCTCATCCTTATCAATATCTCCTCCACCTCATGCTTTTGTTAGTTTTATACTGAGAAAAGATGATCCAATAACACATTATTATGCTAGCAAGTTCAGATGCATATGATTTGGTCTCATTTAAAAAGGAATGAGTTAAATGGATCAGCATTTCTTTATTTTACTCAGGCTATGACTAGACTGCAGGCTTCTTTTGGAAGAAGTTTCTCCAGAAGAGATCTGAAAAACTTCTTCTGAAAGAGAGCATCTACACAGCAAAAGTGCATTGAAAAAAGTGATCTGCTTTTTTGAAAGAGAGCGTCCATTCAGTATGGACGCTATCTTGCATTTAAGCTGTGATTACTATGGATGGAATGGCCACCAGGGCATCTGTACTTTCTCCTCTTTCCTCTTCTTTTGAAAGAACTCCCTCTTCCCCACCCACACATGCCTTTTTCCAAAAGAGTTCTTTTGAAAAAAGGCATCTTTCTCATAGAAAGAGGTTTACCAATGTTGGAAAAATGCCTCTGTTTTGATTTTTTTCGAAAGAATGAGATTGCACTGTGGATGTAAATCAAGTTTTTTCAGAAAAACGGCCATTTTTCTGAAAAAAAATCGGTACTGTAGACATAGCCTCAGCCATTTCAGAAATTCATATGTTTTCTTCAAATGGAAAAATTCACATTGGTACAGTACCAAGTATAGAGGAAACTGTATACACTCATTTCATATCCTATCAAAATCCCCTCCAGAAATTCCATTCATATGTCGCAAAGAATTAAACTACCAGAAATCAAATGCAATCTGAATACAGGTTTTTCATTTAAATTGACATTTCACAAAGCTATTTTTCTAGGGCCTAAAAATTTGACAGTGCTATGTTAAAATGCAGTGTTATTTTTATAATGTATATTAGTGTTTTAGGAACAGGCACAAAAATAACCCGTATAATCGGAGTATCAGCATCTCATTCTCTAGTGACTCTTTAAATTTGTTTTGGCACTAGTGCTTTAGGTTCTGTGAGCTGTTGTATGTCTTTAGTATGCATGTATTGCTTGGGAAGATTCTTACTTTATCTCAGATGCTTTGCATCCAGATAGCCTGTTACCTTTGCTACTGACAGAATCTTTTTTTCATGGACACTGTTTCACAGACAGTTGAAACAATTCTGGGAGTAGTTTATAAAGATTTTTCATGATGCAATATTCTAACTGCATAAGCAGAGAAGAGGTGTAATAACATTTAAAGTGACTGAGAAACAGTGTTTCCATCCCATGAAAAATTTTGAAGTTTAAAAAAAAAAGTGTTTATCCTGAGCTGGGGAGTCAGCTTTCCAGGGTATCAGGGAGCTGACCTAAATTTCCATTCACTTCTAATTAGTGTACTTTTTCCAGAGATGTCTTTGTAGAGAGATGTTTATGAACAATTATGATTTGAAGACACTCCCTCGTAAGGGACTGTGTTATGAGTGTGGGAATTTAGAGATGTGCCCTGGAGACAGGTGTTCAACAGAGACACTCTCCAGTTTGTTTTATAAAGTTTGATTCCTTCTTCATTCACTGGTCTGTAATTTAATGAACCCCAAGATTGTTACATAGTGCCAGTGCTAGTGAATGAGAAGGGAACTGCAGTCATTCTGAAATTAACTCCTGCATTTGCAATTGAAAGCAGAGAGAAAACGAGGCAATAGAGAAGCAGGTGGAGCACCAGGGGGGAGAGGTTTTTGCAAGTATTTGGTGAGCACCATACATCTGGACTGGCTTCAGTGGGGGTGGGAGGGAGAAACTCAGTCTGCTAAAGTGGGTGACTTCAATACAAGATCATACTAGGGATATGAAATCCTGTTTAATCTTTTAACTGGTTAAACATATTGTTTAGCCAGTTAAAAGCTCAGTGAGTGGGGAGGGGGCGCTCCAGCTCACTTGGGCTGGAACTTCCCACCCTGCCTCCTGCTAGGTTGGAGTGGCCCCCCCAACTCCCCTCAGCAGGCAGAGGCTGATACAGCCTGGCCAGAGCAGCCTCTGCTTGAGAGGTGCCCAGCTTATCGTGGACAGAGACTGCTCCAGATGTCTATGCTCATCTGAGGAAGTGGGTTTTGCCCCCAAACTATGCACATTTAATACCCTATTTGGAAGATACAGAGTCTTATGCATACTCTTTGGCATAGGTTCACCTCCAGAAGTGTACCACAAAACCATACATACAATCTAGGAATATATTAATGGTGTTGACATCTCAATAAAGGACATCATCATCCAAGGCTCAATGAAAGAGGATCATGACTGTAGACTTCAGGAAGTCCTTGATGCAATTAGAGTTACAAACCTTAAACTAAATAGGTAGAAATATATTTCAAGGGCTACAGAACTTACTTTTGTTGGAGACATTATTTTTGCAAAGGGCAAAATCTGAGAGGATGATAAAATGATGTTATGTTCCCAGTCAAAGAGAAATCTCCATTGGCTCTTGTGAATTATCAGTTATTTGGGAAAATTCATACCAAATTTATGTACCAATGCATTGGCATGCAGAACAGGGGAAATCACAGGAAGGTCTAATATAATGACTGATACAAGAACCAGTGTTGAAGTTCTATGCACCAGAAACACCTATTAAAATCACAGCAGATGATTCACACAGTCTGGATTAGCTACAGTGATTTTACTGAAGCACAACAATTGTTGGCGACCAGTGGCATACATGTGCAAATCACTGACTGAGGCAGAAACCAGATACTCACAGACAGAAAATGAGCTTTGAGAAATATTATTTGCCAGGGAACGAGTCAATCTTTATATTTATGGACAGATACTATAAGTTTAAATGGGCTACCAGCCCTGATGTCATTATTTAGCAAACTACTAAAGGATTGTCCCTTAAGGATTCAAAGAATGATGATAAAGCTGCAAAAGTATGATGAAATTATGACCAACATGCTCTGTTAATTCATGTTCTCTGCAGATGTACTTTCCAGAGAAGTGGCTTCCACAAAACCAGAGAAGAATATAGAAGCTGAAGTGTAAGAAAGAAAGTCTTGCGCAAGAAAGCTCTATGGCTAAAATGGCCATCGGAGCTTTCTTGCGCAAGAGAGCGTCTACAGTGGCACGGATGCTTTTGCGCAAAAGCACATTTCTTGAGCAAAGGCACATGCCAGTGTAGACGCTCTCTTGCACAAATACTTTAATGCAAAAACTCTTGCGTTAAAAGTATTTGCGCAATATCTTCTAATTTAGACGTAGCTTGCTTGTTTTGAGTTTACAGACTGTTAAGACACATGAAAGGCATGTGACTCAAGTCTTGGCTTGGCTCCTGGTTAAGCAGCAAACTAGACAAACCGGGAACCCTAAAGAGGAATGGGGTTGTTTTTCTTCTGTTCTCTTAAACTACTCAGATTCTCGCTAGGCTGCACAATTGGAAATTTTCAGAGTAAATACCGATAGTATTCAATGGACTGATTTGTGTCTATTTTTTATATCATACACATTTAAAAAAAATCCCTTTGCAGAGATGTGTATGATTGGTCATGACAAAGTAACACATGCAAAACTGTAGAGGAAGGCAAATGAAGGCACACCCAGATACAGACTTACTATTTGTATCAGCAAGGGTTTGTCAGGCTGTTGCAGACTGCACTAAGGAAATGACTAGTAAGGCGATGTTTCTCAGATTATAATAGCATGCTGGCTGTTCCAATGGTTAGTTTGGACATCTTTCAATTTACACTCTTTGAAAAATAAATAAATCAGGTGCTTAACAGCAGACATAGATGGCTCAGGAGAGCACAGAAACACTTAGCAGCAGGTCATCAGTTTGCATCCAGCTTGTTGTCATAGTAGCTAAAAGCTGTTGGCATCTGATGTCTGACTGGCATCAGTGGGCAGTGAGTGAGGTGGCCTCAGTCCATTTTCCAATGTACAGATGTCCACATTATACAAGGCACAGCTATTACTGACCTCCTTGTTGGGCAGTCTTAGAAGACAGACCATGGATTCAAGGGGCTATCCAGGATGTCCTCAGTCCTAGGTGGTTCCTGCAGGAGAAGGGATGAAGCACAGAACAGCGGGCTAATGTGGAGGGCTTCTGCTGTGCCTGCTCTGTGGAAGCTTTCTGTATCCGGTACTTTTTGAGAGGAACAGTAAGATAACCGTGGACAAAGGTTTAATAGCCATTTCTTTTAGCCACAAGGAATCGCTATTAAAAGCCATAGACAGACAAGTAGTTTAGCCTAAAAAGGGGTTTTGCTGTTGGTCTGGACATACCTTTCTAAGGTATGTCATTTTTAGTAGGTGGCTATTAACTCCTCTTTAATGCTTTCCCCCATATAGCTCAGGAATTATCTCCAGAACTCATCAGACTCATGTCTCATTTTCTTTACCACAGAGCACCACAGCCACCATTAATCCATTAAAGAATCATATGAAGAGCATTACATGGCCCCCCATTAATTTTTATAAATTTAAAAACAAAGTCTCAAGCTGTATGCAAACTCTTGTTGACAATAATGAGGAAGCTCGTGCCAAAAGAAGCAAGGGAGACTCCTGCAATACAGAGATAAGTTGAGTTGGGTGACGATATGGACAATTAGTGGTTTACTGCTCACTGGCAAGTACGTGCTGCTTTTGTTAACTATCACTGATCCTTCTGTCCATAATAATGTAATCTACAAGTCCAATGGATTATACATCTAATATTTGTTGATTGTCTGATCTTTGATTCAGTGAACACTGATGTCCAAGGGAAGATTCCCATTGACTCTAGTGAGTTCAAAGCCACCGATGCTTAAAAAAAGTCCCATTTGAAACAAAAAATTACAAACCTGTACTTAGCTTTAAATGATTTGATTTAATCCTACATTCCAACTGATGTAATTGCTAAAGTAATACAGATAGCACAAGAGTGAAACAGAGCTTTGTTGCACAACTGAAACATGTTCAAGTATGACAAGATAGAGTTCTGACCAACCTCCATGTAATTGGGATTAAGGTCATAGATTAAATGTTAATTTCTGATTGGTTGTGCCAATGCTCTGCCCTTCTTGACAGGGCAGATTAAACTGACTAGCAATACATCCATTCATTGCAGCAATTCCTGCCCTTCAGAATCACACAGGTGAGCACTTACAATTGATTTTCCAGCACTTTGTATTTTGTAAAGTATCACAGTTTCACCTTTGATCACTGAAATCTTTTAGTTAAGTTTTCTAGAAACACTGAAGATTGGTTATAACTAACTAAACAGTATAATAAAACATGTAAATACCTTCTTCTATGAATAATACCAACTATCATCTGTTTGCCATTTATAATGTTTTTATTTTCTTTAATCTCAATTGATTAACAGGTATCCTGACAAATATGCATAGGGCTATTTATATTTCATAGGTTTTCAGCTTGGAAAAGAGATAACTAAGGAGGATATGATAGTGGTCTATAAAACCATTATTGTGGGGAAAAATAAATAAGAAAGTGTTTATTTACTTCTCATGACACAAGAAGAAATAGAGGTCGCAAATGAAATTAATGGACAGCAGGTTTCAAACAAACAAAAGGAAACATATTTTCACACAATGCACAGTCAATCTATGGAACTCCTTGACACAGTGTGTTGTGAAGGCTGACTATTACAAGGTTCAAAAAAGAACTAGATAAGTTCATGGAAGCTAGGCCCATCAATGGCTATTAGCTAAGGTGGGTAAGGATGGTGTCTCTAGCCTCTCTTTGCCTGAAGCTGTGAACAGGCAACAGGTGTGGGATCATTTGATGACTACCTATTCTGTTCATTCCCTCTGGGACAACTGGCGGTGGCCACCATCAGAAGACAAGATACTGGGCTTCATGGATCTTTACTGTGACCTGGTGTGGCCGTTTTTATGTTATGTTCTGTAAGGGTTATTGAGTAAAGTGCATATATCAAGATCTACAAAATGTGTCAAAACAACTTCTCAGATAACTTAATTTAAATTATATTAGCTTGATCTAAAATTTACTCTGGACATTTTTTTTGGTGGGAGCAGTTTGCACTTATGAGGTTTTCACCCTGTTTTAGGAGGCTACTAAGAGGAGCTATGTTGGAGAGAAGTTAGATTGTCCCTATTGACAGTGATTAAACAATGTTGTTACTGGGAAATTTCTAATAAAGGGTGGAAGGAAGGACACATCAATGTCTCTAATTTGCTGACAAATGATATGTTATAACAAATTAATTATTACTTATGAAGAATAATTGACACCATGACGTGCTGCCAACAGGTAAAATTCTAAGGTGTTAGCCTCAGAGTTGTATAAAAATGAATGGCTAGTTTCTAACCAGCTCCTGTGTGAGTGCCAGAAGGGAGGTGAGGGTCGTTTCAGGGAATTACAATTGCTGCTACTTCCTAATACTCCCTGTAGGTGTTGCTGTCTTAAAAAGGGTAGGGTGAGGGTGGGCCATAGCTCTATCCATCAAATACCTTAAGAGTTCTCTGGACTGCCCACTGTCGAAGGTTGCAAGGGCTTCTGAAGGAAAGTGGTCCCTCCAATGCACACAGAGGTGGCATGTGGGGCACATGGGATTGCGTTCCTCCCCCAAGATTTCTGCCTTCTATTTGGTCCTGATCCCAGAAGTGCTAATGTAATAGGGCAGAGCCCACCCAGTCTCGTGCCAGTTGTAGGTACTATGGGCTGGATGGGCTCAGTGCTACTTGACTCCTAATGACTCAGCACCTTCCCCTCTGCATTCTCCACTGGGACAGGAAGCAGCCCATCTAACGGGACCCTCCCTTCTCTTCTTGTTCCCTAGGCTGGACTGTCTTCTGCTGTTGCTCCCAAGCTCGCACCTACAAGCAAAACAGCTCCCAACAGCAGCCTCATCCACCTGCCCCCTCCAGCCCACATGCCGAGAACCCTGCAAGATGGGGCTTCCCACCTCTGTATGGCTCTGCTCTAGCTCCCAGCAAAAGTCCAGCCAAGGTCAGCAGACAAATTTCAACTTTCCCCATGGCCCCGCCTCCCAGAGGAGAGATGTGGGGTGGTCACCTATCCCCCCTACCATCTAGAGGCACAAGTCTCTGCCAAAGGTAGAAACTTTCCCTAAAAGAGATGAATTTATACTGAGAGACCATGGAGATAATAAAGAGAGGGAAAGACAAGAGATGGCCTGACGGAAAATAAAGGGAAAAGGAAACTACTCTTATGAGAACTGAGTTTCTGTTTTGCAATTCCATCTTCTCATTGACTTTCTTTATAATAATAATTAGGGGTGAGAGAGGACACAGCTAATACCTGAGTGGGTGGAAGTGACAGGAAAACAACCTTTTATAAAGTGACTTTTGAGTTGTAATAAACAATAAAAGAAACCACCTGCAATATAAAATGGAGCAGATATATAAACTGGCTCTGAAATCAGTGAGCATGCATTTCTGAGGATCACTGAGATGTTTACTTTTTCATAGCCCTACAGATAAATCACTGGTATTAAAGATCCTGGAACAACTTTCATGAGGCATACCAGAGCAGTCAACAAAGGCTTCCCTTGTTGACCGTGCCGTGTCTAGACTGCCGTGCTGTGCCGGATCAGCTGATCGTCAGCACAGTTCAGCGGCCATTTTTATTTTAATAAAGCGGGGATTATTTAAATCCCTGCTTCATTGACTATGCCTAATAAACTATTTTACATGGATCTGTCGATGGAGCTTTGTAGTCTGGACGTACCCCTAATGTCCAATCTAAACCTCCCTTGCTGAGGTTTAAACCCACTGCTTCTTGTGCTATCCTCAGAAGCCAAGGAGAACCATTTTTCTCCCTCCTCCTGGTGACGTCCTTTTAGATACTTGAACTTATAGTTACAAAACTACAACTTAGTTTTGTGACTGAAATCAATTCACAGTGAACTTTCTGATGCTAAAACGGCAGCTATATTAACTTTGATTCTGTATTTCTTTAAAAGATCAGGGTTCTGAAAAACCCATTATGACTATTTCATTGACATTTTCTTGAAAATTACTATCCTAAGGCACAGCAATTTTCTTAGAATCTGGATCATTTCCCATATAATTGTTAAAGTTGGGCAATAGTTCCCTTCCTGGGAGGAAAAATTAGATGTGTAAATGCTCTGTACTTTAACCTGAACTGTGCTTTAGCTAGGTTTCTGTCCTGGCAATGTAGCTGGGAAAGCAAGTTATATTTTTTCTGAGCAGAAATTAGAAATCAGGTTTTCAAAATCAAGATCCTGATGGGGGAAAAAAAGATTATTTATGAATACAGTATTTGTGTATGTCGACCAAGTAACTTGTAACTTTCCATTTGCATTGTGAAATAAGGAGTTGGGTAAGTATTGTTTCTAGCCATTTGACAGACAAGGAAACTAAGACAGAGTATTTAAGGTCATTTTTTCAAATGGCCACTGATTTGCTGTGTTTCAGATTTTGGGGTCCTAATCTGAGACATTGTAAACTGCTTCACAAAAGTAGCTGATCTTCCTTGCCTCACTTTTGGCGATTTGCCCAAAGCTACACATGTAGCTTATTGCAGATATTTGAACAGAATGGACCTCTAGTCTGAGCGGAGGCTCAATTAAAGTCACAATTAAAGTAAATTAAAGTCACAATTAAAGTCACAAAGTTACATTATTGTGCAGGGGGTATGCCTTAAGTGAGATTACAGCACTATTTCTTTAACATACTGTGCTTTTTTTATATGGTCACTTCCCAAGAAGTATCTAAAGCAACATCGGTGAGCTTGAATTGCCTGCTGAATCAACAGATGGACTTGTTTCTTGTCCTCATTCTGATTAGATAACTTCTGTGGAAACTGTCCTCGTAGCATTTGGGTTCTGCTAAGCATCAATTTATACAGTCAGGAAAAGGGATTCCTCCAAATGTTTTTGGAAATATGGTCAGACAATTTATTTGGCTAACATGCTGAAAAACAAATCAGAACATCAATAAATTGGCTCCTAAGAAATGATGCTGTTAGCAGAATCCTTACAGATTTGAGAGTTCAAACTCCTGGGGTATGTCTAGACTACATGGCTCTGTCGACGGAGCCATGTAGATGAGTTTACTAGACATAGGAAAATGAAGCAGTGATTTAAATAATCGCCGCTTCATTTACATAAAAATGGCTGCCGTGCTGTGCCAATCTGCTGTTTGGCGGCACAGCGGGGCAGTCTGAATGCGCTGCAGTCGACAAGGGAAGCCTTTGTCGACCACTCTGGTATGCCTCATGAAATGAGGTTTACCGGAGCAGTCGACAAAGGTTTCCCTTGTTGACCGCGGTGCGTCCAGACTGACCTGCTGTGCCACCAAACAGCTGATGGGCACAGCGCGGCCACCATTTTGATGTAAATGAAGCAGCAATTATTTAAATCGTCGCTTCATTTTCCTATGTCTAAACAAAACAACATTTTCCTATGTCTAGCGAACTCATTTACATGGCTCTGTCGACGGAGCCATGTAATCTAGATATACCCCTGGAGTGTGACTGGAGTAAAGAATTCCTAAGACTCTATGCTTGTCACAGAAAACTGAAGTAGTCATGGTAAAACATGTTTAAACCTTGATATGGCCTCCTCTAACAATGCATATTCAACATTGCTGATCTTTCAGGATGTGGTTTAGGCTACCAACAAATGTGCTATTTAGACTCATTTGAAGGTGTGCATTTATTGATAGCATCTTCAATCTAAAGCACTCAGCATACTTTACCAATATTAATTTGTCTGTTGGTGTTTGGTCAGTAACACTACATCCTGTTTGAAACGCAACAAAACTGGGACAGAGTTAGGAAGTGAACTCACATCTCTACTGCCAGACCTCTGCCTTAACTATAAGTCTATCCTTCCCTCCCTTTGGAAGTGACTTTATGACATTGATATACATTCACTAGAAAAAGAATTAAGACATGGGTCAAATTGTATAGGACCCTGAACAGCCATGATTCCAACCTGAGCTGGAAATGGAAGTAAAAGACTGCATTCTATTAAACTGGAACAAATCAGATAACCCAGAGATGATTAAGTGCCATCCTTTCATATAACACAATGCTTAGCAATAACATGCAAATTGTCCTGTCTTTTTGGTCTCTTGTAAAATATTATAGACTCATAGAATCATGGGCCTGGAAGGAACCTTGAGGGATTTTCTAGTCAAATCCCCTGTATGCAAGGCAAGACTAAGTACTATATAGACCATCCCTGAAAGATGTTTGTCTAACATGCTCTTAAAAATCTCCAATGGTAGAGATTCCACAACCTCCTGAGGCAATTTATTCCAGTGCTTAACCATCCTGATAGTTTTCCCTAATGTCCAACTTAAATCACCTTTACTGCAATTTAACCCTATTGTTTATTGTCCTATCCTCAGATGTTAAAGAGAACAATTTTTATTCCTCCTCCTCGTAATAACCTTTCATGCATTTGAGAACAGTTATCATGTTCCCTCTCAGTCTTCTGTCATGACGCATCTAAACTTTCATCATGATTATTTGCAACATCTACTGGTCAACAGCTATACAAAACAAGAATTCTCAAAGAAAGTAGGACATTTGCTGTGCTTAATGGACCACCAATGCTTTGAATGCCCTTTCAATTTGTGAGAATGGGCAATAAGATTCAAATGAACAAATTATTTTTCTTAGCTTGAGGCTACCTAATGTTTACTCAAACAAAACAGTTATCAGACTACCCAAGTTATGCATAATCAGCCTTTCTGGAATTTTCTGAAGTTATCTGGTTTTTCTGCAAGCCTTTGGGTCTCAGTTGTCTTCTTCCCTCACAAGGCTTTAGAATTAATTACCCTTCAAAGACAAAACTAGCTCATTGTTATTTTGGTCTGTTGCTCCTCAGCAACTGTAGGTGAGTTTACAGCTCTAGGCTAAGGCGGCTTACATCAACCTCATTCTGGTGCTTCAGCCAATATAATTCACTCACCATATTGGCCTGCAAGAGATGTACAGTTTAGCTCAATGTAGTTAGCATAACACAGTGTCTGTATAGACACTCCATTACCACCATTGCCTTTTGGCTGTCCGATGCACAGGCCTGACAACCTGGAGTGCAGCCACTGGGGCTGACAGCTGAGAGCCACACCATTGCTTCCCTGTGAGGGGCTAGAGTGGAAGACAGGGAAGGAGAGCCCAAGCCCAGCCATCATCTAGGCTCTCCTTCTTCCGCAATCCCTCACGGGAAGGCTGCCAAACTTGGGTTCTCCTTCTCCCCCCAGTCCCTGACCATGAGGTAACAGCAGGGCTCCAGGCTGCCAGCCCTGGCAGTATGCCTGGCTCTCCTGGCTGTCATCCCGAGGACAGGGAGGCAGGTCCAACTGCCAGTTTTCCAATATTGCCCCACTTTAGTCAGAAAAAGCATTTTTGATGAGGAAGTGCACCACTAAAGTTAGGGTCTAGGGTGGCCATAAAAACAGTAATTACAATGGTGGCTGTATGTCAATCTAACTTAGTGTCACTTAATTTTGTAGTGTAGACAAGACATCAGTAACTACTGATTGACTCTCTGTTTCTAGTAGGTGGAGTTGATTTTAGTCATCTTTTCACTGGTTCTATTATAAACATGCACAGAAATGAAGGAAAATCTATACCATTTTGTTCTATAGAGTTACAAAGAGTTAGAATCTCAAGTATGGTATATTGTTCACAGTGTGAGTAGCTATGTTTAGAGTCCTACAAATCTGTGGATATCAGCGAATATGCATGGAGTATATTTGTGAATCACAAGTCAGATACCAGTACAAAACTTGTATCTGTTCAGGGCTCTTTTCACTATAAATACTCAGTTCCAATATATATGCATAGTCTGTGTCCGAAATCATGGAATAAGTAATTTAATTTTTGTGGTTTTGAAAAGGGAATATCTCAGTAATTATATCAAAATAGTCTTGAATGCCGCAGTACCATTAGAGTTAACTTACATACATACTTTGTATTAATAGTTTATAAATTATTTACTCAAAAAGAAA